TGGAGATGATTCATGGACAATTCTGGAAGCTAATATAAGTCATATTTATTTTATGGAGAGAAAGTTAAATGAAAGTTTGAAGTTTATGAAATTCAACTTCGGATCTAATTCCGTTGGAATGGAAGTGGACTAAATTCTTGGTTGTTTATAATTTTTTTGGAACAGTTATGATGTTATATTAAAGCCATGTTTGGAAGTCCCATGGGGAAGCAAATGGCTCCCTTGACATTTTACATAGCCTTTTAAGGTAAAAAATGTCATATGTTGTATGGAACCATTACTGGAATGTGGCAGCAATCTTTCAAATGATGTTAGCAATATTGGGTTGTCAATTTGGGTTTACGCAACGGGACTCTACTAATTTTCTGAAATTTCTCTTTTTAGAGGAGGAGTTTGTCATTTCAAATGCCTTTGGAAGTGCAAAGGAAACGTAAATATTCAAGGGGATAGGCATTTGCTCCTGGACAATGGTTTTGTTGTAGTTAATAAATACTATAAATTGTTGGGTGATGCCTAGCCCTTTTGGATAAATTGGTGAAAGTACCTTGTAGTTTTTTCATAATGTGTGGTTCTAGTTCACCCGATGGATGAGAATCAAGTTGCAAAAACAGTGACACTGAAGAGTTGGAGTTGACTTTGAATTTCAAAATGATTTATTTTCTTTCTAAAGCTTCTTTTTGAATATGCAAGTTACATCATTTTGAATAGTGGAGAGGCTTCATAAATTGCTGAAGCTTCTATCGTATGTACTTGCACGCCAAAAAGATGCATACAGGGATGGAAACTGCATTATAGAATAAACTAGACAATTGATTCAAATCAAGTTCTAGCTCAAAGAAATGGTGTATGTTTAAACCAAACCAAATCAAGCCTTGTGTCCGAATCAATTGGGGTTGGCTAGATGAATCTTTTTTTTTTTTTTAATTTAATTTTATTTTTTATCTATTTTGCTCTATCAAGGGCCATATGCTTAGTTAAATTACGCAAAGTCATATCCTTCTTTGCTACGATATCTTATGTCAATCTAGGTTTTCCCCTCCCCTAGTGTTTCCATTAACTGTGATCCTACCACACTACTTCACCGTTGCCCTAAGAAGCACGGACACGGACACGCGACACACCACAGACACGCTAATACGTCAATTTTCAAAAAATGCAAGACACCACACGTGAAGGACACGCGCAAAATATATAATTTTATATATTTATTATATGTCATATATATGAATATATCATTCAATGAATAAAAAAATGTAATATAACACTTATTTTATAAATTTATATTGTTTTTTTCTTTTATTATTGTATCCCAAGTTATTTAGTTCAAACTTGTAATTAGTTTTGCGTGTATCTAATCGGTGGACGTGTGCTTAAGCAATGAAGAGTGTCCGGATTTAAAAAACTTTTTAAAAATAGAACATGTTTTAACGAGTGTCAGACACGTGTTGGGAAGTGTCCAATGAGTATTAGTGTTTGACATAGATATGACACGGATATGCCATTTTCTTAGAAGTGTCCGTACTTCTTAACCGTTGCCTCTACCAGTCTTGGTTGTAACTGAACAAACCATCTATCTCTTTTCTCGCTTCTTATCTTCAATCTATCCCATTATTTTACAAATGTATTCATTTCTAATTCTTTCTTGGTTTTATCATACATCCTCCTCAACATCTGTTAAGTTACCAATTTTTCCAAAAGCCTAAGTTATTAGGAAATGGGTCCAATCATGTATATCAAGCTATCTAACACCCTCCCTCATGTGCAATCCCGTCTTGCACGTGGACAAGTGGAAAGACAAATAGAGAATCAAATAGAAGGAGAAACAAACAATCAAACAGAGAGAAAGAAACCAAACGGGGGTAGAATACCAAATACCAACGGAGAGACTTAAACCCAAGACCTCTCTTAATCAGAGCTTTGATACCATGTTAAGTTACCAATTTTTCCAAAATCCTAAGCTATTAGGAAATATGCCTAACAATGTATATCAAGCTATCAGAGTTGGAGTACTCGATGGAAGGTAGGGTGCGTGCCCCTGGCCTGCACACCACAAGTGTTGCCGAGTGAGCACGTTGCACGTGAGGGAGGGTGTGAAGTAAAATCCCACATCACCTTAGTACTAGAGTAATATTAAGCATAAAAGCTTGAGGGCATATTTATATTAAACAAAATGAAATCATGTAAAATTCAAAACCCAAATAGTCTACATGCAAAACTTGCTATCCAAAATCTTCAAATATATAGTTACTATAAAAAGGTACTCAAAACTTTCAAAGCCCTATAGTTTTAACAAAACAAATAGATAACCCTATTGAAAAGAAAGGATTCAAACCATTTCCATCACAAGAAACAACCATATAACTTTGATTACCTCAAAGATAACCTAGGATTGTGCAGACTTCATTGCATCCAATGTTAGCTTTGTTTGCTCCTGGATCAACTCTGCCCTCTTCAGGTATAAACTAACTTCCATCCTTGCACAAGTTCTTCCACTTTTCTTCCAACTCCATCGCCTTCGCAGTCCTAATCATACTCATACTATCCTTCATTGAATTCTTTCCGAGCTCTGGCATTGACAAATTAGAATAATCCTTCAACTCTAGAGACTCTTTCAAGCAAGGGAACATAGACCAAAAGTCCTTTTGATCAACAATTGGGTCGTTTACTTCGACCTTCGACGTCTCTTGCAAGACGAGCTAATTCCGAACGGCTTTCAGCAAGGTGCAGAATTATTAACCTTAACATGCTTTCTTGATTTTGTAGTGTCACTCTTACGAGCGCTATCGTCAACATTATTCGCTCCACCACCCCATATTTTCTTGGAAAGCTCGAAGGTCTTGAGCTCATGGGGCTTGGTAAAAATCGGATCCTTGCCTTTCTCAGCATTGATTTGGTACTTCTTTAACCTCTTAACCTTATGCATTAATTGATTCTTCAAAACATCAGCACGAAGCAATTTCTTAATAAATTCATGAAAGGCACCCATATTAGCGTGAGGCTTAGACCATTTCTTTGACTGGGATTTAATCATTCCCTTTAACGTATGAAGCACTGACACTTCAAAACAAGTGTCGTATCTGTGTCGGATACACGGACAAGCGGGAACACGTATGGAATAGGTCACATGGCGTGTCCCCTTATTTAATTAATTTATTTTCAGGGGACACACCGGGGATATTTTGGGGACACATTAGGGATATGCTAAGTTGTTTTTTCCTCCATTTTCTTTTGTACTTTTGATGAATGTTGAATGTTTATTATTATTATTTCTTAGATTTAAATACTTAATAGATCATTCATGAAAAAAAGATATAAATTGTAAGTGTTAATTTAAAAGTGTTTTTTTTTAATTTATAAAATAAATAAATATATAATTAGAGTTTGTTTTTATTAATATTGATTATTTGTGGATGTAATATTAATCTAGATAATAAATAAAAATATCTGAAAACATATTTTATTATTATGTCCCAATTTTTTTGAAATCGCTGTGTTCTGTGTCACATCCGTGTTTCTTAGTCTTCAACACCGCAATCTCATCATCCTCACTCCACAACCTATTGATCATGAACTTTTTCTCTTCCATAGCAGCCTCTTTCTCATCACCATTAGAAACCTTCATCTTCTTTTTCTGAGACTCCTTCCCATTTGGTCGATCTCGCCAGGCGCTTCGTAGGTTTCGATGTCGAGGTAGCAGATTTGGACACTAGTTTCTTGGGCTTGGTCGAATTTTTTTTGGGTGAATCCTTCCCATTTGGACTTGGTCGAATTAACCATGGGTTTGGATCATTGTTTTGACACGCGACACGATACAGACACTTCAATTTTCAAAAAATGCCAGACACAATAAGTGGACACATACAAAATATATAATTTTATATATTTATTATGTCATATATATGAATATATTATTCAAAGATAATAAAAAAAATATAATATAACACTTATTTTTATAAATTTACATTATTTTTTCTTTTATTATTATATCCTAAGTTATTTATTTCAAACTTATAATTAGTTTTGTGTGTCTAGGTGGACACGTGTATTTAAGCAATGGACTGAATGCCTGAAGAGTGTTCGAATCTTATAAACTTTTTAAAAATAGGATACGTTTCAACAAATGTTAGACACGTGCCAAGAAGTGTCCAATGAGTGTCGGTGTCAGACACGGGCACGACACAAATAAATTACGTTATTTTTTCTTTTATTATTGTATCCTAAGTTATTTAGTTCAAACTTATAATTAGTTTCGTGTGTGTCTAATTGGTGGACACGTGTGTTTTTAAGCAATGGATACAAATGTCTGAAAAGTGTCTAGATTTAAATTTTTTTTTAAAAATAGGACACGTTTTAACGAGTGTCAGACACGTGTCAGAAAGTGTCCAACAATGGACACGACACGGATACACCACCTTCTTAGAAATGTCTCTGCTTCTTAGTCCAAAGGTCATATAGACAAAATCCATGTACAGGTTCTGCAAGCACTTCCCTTCAGAAAGTATAAAATCATGCTTTTAGGCATGACAATGGAACTTTTCGGAACTCATTGTGCATGTCTTTTGTTTTTGTCCCATGAACTGGAAAAGGAAGAGCCTACATAAACTAAAAACCAACAAACAAATACAATAATGTAAGAGTAATTCTTCACCTAGCATATGACTAGCAAACTTACCAATACACCAGCACCTTCACCCATGACAAAGCCATCTCGATCTTTATCCCATGGCCTAGAAGCAGTTTGTGGATCATCATTTCTCTGAGACAAAGCTCTACATGCAACAAAACCACCCAGGCCAATGGGAATAATGGCAGCTTCAGTTCCACCAGTAATCATTAAGTCGGCTTCACCTCCACGAATGTGATTGGTAGCAGCATAGAAACAATAACTGGAGGTAGCACAAGCGGTTGATATTGAATAATTTGGTCCCATAAAACCAAGCTCAATTGCAAGCAAGTCTGAGCCCATATTTGTTATAGCGTAAGGTATGAAAAATGGGGTGATTTTCCTGTAACCTCCCTTTATCTTATCTCCTGATGATCTATCTATAGTGTGTATAGTACATTGAGAACAATGACCCATCTCTCTCTTTCTAGAAAATATTCTTTACACCTTTTGAACCCCACTCCAACACCTTTTTTTTTTTTTAAGCATTGATTTGGTACTTCTTCAGCCCCCCAACCTTATCCATTAATTGATTCTTTGAAACATTAGCACAAAGCAATTTCTTAATAAATTCATGAAAGGCATCTATATCAGTGTGAGGCTTAGACCCTTTCTTTGACTGGGATTTAATCATTCCCTTAAACCTATGAAGCACCGACAATTCAAAACAAGTGTCATATCTGTGTTGGACACATGAGCACAGTGGGGACACGCCACATGGCATGCCCCCCTTATTTAATTAATTTATTTTTAGGGGACACGCTGAGAACACTTTGGGGATACACTAGGAACATATAAAGTTGCTTTTTCACTCATTTTTTTAGTACTTTTGATGATGTTGAATGTTTATTATTTTTTCTTTGATTTAAATACTTAATAGATCATCCATAAAAAAGATATAAATTGAAAGTATTTTTAGAAAAAATATTTTTAGAATTAGAGTTTGTTTTTGTTAATATTGATTGTTTGTGGATATAATATTAACCTAGATAGTAAAAAAACATATATGAAAACATATTTTATTGTCGTGTACTCGCCTTGTCCGTGTCCCCATTTTTTTGAAATTGCAGCGTCCCGTGCTTCATTTGTGCTTCTTAGCCTTCAACACCGCAATACTACAACCTATTGATCGTGAACTTCTTCTCTTCCACAGCAGTCTCTCTCGCTTTTTTTTTTGAGCAACAACAAAATTTTATTAAAAAATAAAAGTGAAAGAAGACAAGGAGTCCTCATACAAAGCGAGAGAAAGAGAAAGAGAAAGAGCAAAACAAAAACACAAAACTCATAGCCCTAGGGAAGGCAAACACGAGGCCAATCCCTAGAGATCAAGAACAAAGGGACTCCTTTAAAAGAAGGGGATACAAATGTCCAAAATGACGCCAAATATTCCACCCTATCCCACAAAACCTCTACATTTGCTTCCTTGCCATCAAAGATTTTAGCAATTCTCTCCAACCATATGGCCCGAAAAATAGCAAAAACAATGCTTGTCCACATTGTTTTGGCTCTCTTAGTTCTCCCAAACCCTATAAACCGAATAAGAAGCATTTGAATGCAGTCCCGCGAAGTAACCCACTGCTCATCACATAAGCCGAACAACCGCTGCGATAATACACAAGCCACCGGGCAGTGCAGAAATAGATGATCCGCTACCGCCAAGTTCCTCTTGCACATCACACACCATTGAGGGCAACGAGAGTGATTAGGTCTTCTCCTTTGGAAAACATCATTAGTTGTGAGAACTAAGAGAGTGATTAGACTCCTTCCCATTTGAGTTGATCTTGCCAGGCGCTTCACGTGTTTTGATGCGGGGTAGCAGATTTGGACATTGGGTTCTTGGGCTTGGTCGAATTGACCATTGGTTTTTGGAGGCGATGGGCTTGATGGTGAAATTCGAGACCGTCGAGGACGGTTGGGTATCGGCGGAACAGATTTTCAGATCAAATTCTTCATAGTTCGACGAAGAATCAAGCTCAGAGGGTTTCCTTTTCTCTTCCTTTTTATCTGATTCTTCTTCATCAGATTCTTCGACTTCGTCTCCATCCTTGTCTTCTTCAGATTCAACATTTGGGTTGTTTAGTTCTTGATCTTCTTCTTGTCGTTGATTTCTTCATATTCGTCTTCTGAAGATGAAGCAGATGGAGAGAAACAAATCAAATATAATATGCTAAAATCTATGGAGAGAGGTGTTTTGGTTTGACAAAACATAAAAAATGGGTTATAATGCTCATAGAAATGTGTTATGATAACATGATTAATTTGAAAAAGAAAGCAACATTTTATTGGATGTCTAATTGTTAAAAGAAAATTGTTCTGGAAGTACTTTAAATTCTAATAGTATAATCTAAACAAGTCTACCCTAGTCGTACCACATTTTAGAGAACTAGTAGGCATGCACGTGCTTTGCATGTGGCAATATTCTGCTAATTATTGTAATTATTCTTGAATTTAAGAGAAATTGATGGTGCGCATTTTTGAAAAGGGCATACGACAAGAAATGTTATGTCATTTTAAGATGTTAGTTATGCCTTTAAGTAAAAGTTATTGACTATTGTGAATATGTTATGAACAGAGTACGCTATAAATGTTATGAAAATTTGTAGTGACATCTTTGTGATATTTGCCACAAAATATTATGTACGTTGTGAAAAAATATGCACAATATATTACTTCTAGTACTGCATGTTGTACCAAGTTTTTGAAATCATTGAAACAGTCAATGATTTCATAAATGTAATTTGTTCATAGTATTTGGATTGTGGTTGCTTTTCATTTGTACTTTTTTTTTAAAAAAAATTTATTAGGGATTTACATGTGTTTTATGTTAATTATGTAGAAAAAAAATTGACTGGTGATGTAGTTGAGAGACGATAGATAATTCACTTAATGTGTGTTGTAATATGTCGCATGATACTCCGAAAATATTTATTAATTTTCCTTTATGCTTGTAGTATGAGGAAGCACGTGATTCACCCATAGGAACTACTGAGGTCTCAACTTCATTTATTTATTTATTTTTTGATCGACAAATGTTAGTTGTTAGATTAACACATATGGGAGAAAATCTCCTCACCCTTGGCAAAGCACCAAAGTACTTGCACTCTCTTAATTCAATCCCCCTAAGGGGAATTGAACCCATGACCTCCTTGGAACTAAGCTCTAAGAAAGACATGATGGCCAATAATATATATATATATATATATATATGTGATGATAATAACATTATTACCCAAATATGAACACAAAAATATACGCATTATTAATAATTCATCCTCTGTAAGTTTGTGAATGCTGCTACGAACAAAGAAACTTTGAAGAAGTGGGTTTTTGATATTTCCTGAGGACATTTAATATAAAATAGTTAAAATAATGCCATGGTAGGAACTTAATTAGGCATAATTCAAATATAACTTTTTGACTGCAGAGATTTGTAGTTGCACATCCTAGGCTATATTTGGTTCATGAATTTGAGAAGGAATTTGGAAAGGGAAAGGGAAAGGGAAAAATGTAAGTGGAATGTAAATGCAATATAACTATATTTCACACTTTCTCTTTTCCTTTCCAAATTTCTATCCAAATCCATAAACCAAACATAACCTCAATACTATTAAGGCAATTGGACGAGAAATTGTGTACTACTTTGAGTTTTTTTTGTTTTTGTTTTGTTTCTCCCTATCATGTATAATCAATCATCATGGATGCTTTTAATTTCTATTTCAAATACCAGCAACATAGAAAACAAAGCCTGATCAGCAAACCATGTACTGCAGTCAGCGAGTCTCTTACTTTCCCATTTTCTATCATAAATCGAACAGAACATGAGTGTAATAGGAAGAATAATAATTACCAGCAATCTTGATCATCTTTTGAGAAGGATTTAGACGAGGCCAGAAATCCCATGGAAATTGAACTCTCTGATGTATTTCTATATATGGGGAAGGCTATGGATCCGTTCCTACTCTTTTTGTTTCCCAAACATCTTGGGTTTCCACCATGTTATACATTACGTACACAACTTTGAGATAACCACTCTATCTCAACTTGATTTCTCAACCGGGTAATGCGAACAGTGTCTGCAGGGGCACCAACAGTCAGCCATACTAATTCAAATGCAACTCATTGCGATGAGCCATCCTTTCAATATTTAACCTATTTGTTGCAAGGACTTGAAGAAAAATAACATAACTATAATTAATAAGATAGAAAGGGGAAGTAGAAGAATGAAAATTGAATACTAATAATTAATTAAAGAGAAATCAGAAAGAGAAAGAGAAAGCAGAAGAAAGAGATTCATAATAATTAATTAATTAATAAGAAAGAAAAAGCACAAGAATAAAAAATATATATATACAAAAGCTTCGATGCATAATTATGTAGATCAAAACAATGGAATAAATATCTATTAAAAACAACTAATCCAGTTCATGTATTCAAAAACAAAAACAAAAACAAAAACAAAATCCCACCGGTAAATCTTCACACATGGAGAAGAAGCTGTTAGGTTTCTCTGTCAATTGAATAGGGACTCAATCTAAACCCTTATTTTAGTTCATGATGCGGCCGAGAAACTGTGGTTGTTGACTTGATGGAACGGTCTGTGTTCTGTAACAGACATATCCCTTCTCAATCGACGTCAACATTGAAATCTTAGATTGGTTCTAAACGAAGTGGGCCAGGTATGTACATTTTTTTTGTTAGGGACATTTGTGGAATACGAAAATATAGAAAACAATTGGATCCTTTCGCTTTTTTAAGTAGTAGAGATGTGGCGTACCACGTTCCGGATACCGTTTTGCATACCAAAATGATCCACGTTCTAGGTAACGTAAGGTCCACATTTTGTCCCGTAAAGCATTGTCGGTTGTTCTATAAATATTTTCAATTTTCCTAATTATAAAATGATATAGGGAGAATTACACTAACGGTCCCTGTAATTTGGGACTTGTGTCACTTTGGTCCCTGACCTTTCAATTGTGATACATTTAATCCTGAATTTTGAATTTCGTTCCAAATAAGGACAATTGAAGACACCGTTGCTCCATTTCAAGGTCGTCAATTTGATAAAATATAAACTAGTTTGACAAAAATAATACCAAAAAATTATTTTTGAATTTTTAAAAATAATTTCTACCTACCAAAGATGTGCTTATATAAAAATAATAAACCTTTTACATTTTTATTTTTTTACCCAATTAATTTTTAGTATGTGTTTGGATGATGATCGCGTAATGGGTGGTCATTTTTGTTGATATTTTTGGATGGTTATCATGTGATAGATGGTTGTGTTTGTTGTTAATTGTATTTTTGGATGATCAATGTAATGGATAGTTATTAGGCTTTTAATGTATA